ATATAACAATTTTAGGCTTCAGTTCCCCTTTAAGCTGCAGCTAGATTACATAAAACTTTTTATTTCAGTTTTAAAACTTTTAACCCTTTGACTCCTTAGATTTCGTCTGAAGAGTCATTTCCCCTTACAATATCTACCCCGAATCACACATTAAGATCACAAGAATAAAGGAAATATCACCAACTGAAGAAGATCTAGATTATTTAGCCTGCATTGCAGTCGTCTTATTAGGGGAGTTTGCGTTAAGATTCTCGCGATCGTTTATTCGACTGGTCATATTTGACCGTCGCCACCCCCTTGGTACAAATTTCTTTCTCTCCTCTGCCTTACTCTGCTATAAATATCAAAGATGGCAGCTATAATTTTTACCGAGATAATACAGAACTCTCGCCCGCTCTGTAAACTATAGATAACTAAACAAATTCTCCTTGTGAGCACCTTAGAAGATGTATAGAAAATAGTATGGAGAATATGCATACTGACATAAGGGTATAAAGGGTTCACTGAGGCATCGGAGTTACTACACGAAATTTTGATAAGAACGTGGCAACAGTAACTGAGTCACGAACGTGGAATAACAAAAGAGTCACGCAATCTCAGACTTTTCGAGGACAGACCCAGTGCATCTTGAAGGGAGTGCCTCAACAGGTACACCTCAAATAAAATGTCGTGGAACCAAAAACACGTAATCGCATTCGGAAGAGCTTGTAAGAAGCCGGCTCATATATTTCAAATTGTATCTTGACCTGTGGAGGATGGTTCCTAAAACCAGACTTTATCCTTGTTTAGGATGTTCCCAGGCCAGTTTTCACGTTTGCAGTTTGAATAAAGATCATTCAAATTGATTTATCGCGTATAGCAATGTTCTAGCTCCTTCAAGAATGTTCTTTTCACATTTCAGACGCCAGGTTCTTAAGACTCAGGATGCCAAGCCAGCCGACCCTTGCCAACGACAGAGGTGGTCTTTAAATAATGATGGCTTTATCAGCCTTAAGGGAACCCCCCTGGTGTTAGGACTCACTGATTCTGCTAATGAGGTACAATTCAGAGTTATCGACATTCACACTTGTCGAGGGAGTTGTTTAAGTATCCTTGTTTTCTCCATTGCACGGCAGAGGAACAGTTTAACCAACACAAGCACTCATTTGCAACACATACCAAGAATGTTGATTCACCCTCGCTCCATCGTCCCAACCAATCAGATGCAAAACTGAAAAAAATCACAACTTTGTCATTCGCAATTTCCCGCGCTTCAAGAAGTTTGCTTGTTTTCACTTTGAGTTCTCATTGGTTAACGATAACAGACCTGTGTTCTGATTGATCGCTGAGATATCTTTGGTTTTTACTTTTCGACACTCAACTAAAAACTTCTTTGGTTTAAACCTATCAGTAGTTCAAAACTTAATGAGACAGGTTCGTGTTCAAACAGCTGACGCCACCTGCTTCTCAAGTTACCCACTGTTTATCGCCGAATAGGTAGCGAGCAGTTTAGCCGATCAGATTGGAGCATTTATGATAGAATGCCAGTAGACTTATACGAAATAGTACAGACATGAAGGTGGCTTGTGTTGCAGTGATTTCTCGTATATCAGCCAGACTTCTCGAACACTATTTATTGGAATCACATTACTTGAATAAAATCTCGCGTTGTGATAAGTAAACAAAGTGAGATATTTGGCGTGGAATTGGAAGTTGAAAACGAGGCTAAGTGATATTGTTTCGCGCTCAAGATGAAGACAAACAATATTATTGTTGTTTTCTTTTTTCCTAATGCGTGCAATCTTACGCGGAATTCCCTCGTCAGATTATTAATTTCCCATAAAACTCTTCCTAAAAAGGTGACTCATATTTTTTACCATTTTTTATCTTTGAAGGGAAAAGCTGAAGTTATTCTTTGTAAAAAGAAGGTGGAGGATTTTACTCAGAGATGGGTTATTGCTGAAGATGGGTAAGCTTATTAAGCCTAAAATTGTGTTTGTTTTAGTAAATCAAATTACCTGCTCAGTCATTTGTGTGGTTTGTTTCAGTTCCATATACCAGCGCTCCAACCCGCAGCTTGTGTTAACAGTCACCACCCCTCCTCTGGGGAATGATCCATTTAACCTAGACTACTCCCCAGCGCAAGGTTTTGAAGGAGCAGCAGTGATTGTCGCACATCGTAAGGGCTGCGCTAATGGGAATGCCAGTCAGTTGTGGAGATATGATCCTATAACTGGATTTGTAGAGGCTTTTTCTGCAGATACGACAAACAGAGGTACAGTTAACTCAATTTGATTAAACTCACAGCAGCTGTATCTCAGTAAAGACAACTGTATCATGCTTGAGTAGTGCGGGAAACGTGACAGATAATACCAACTCGCCTCTAGTTTTGATATTGGCGTCATTTTCCGCGCCTAATGCCGAAAAAAGGTGCGAATAAACTAAAAGCCAGTTACGGAGAACACAGCGGTCAAACATCACGCATGCGCAATTCTGGCCGGCCGCGCGCAAATTTCCCGAAAAAATTGTTAAGGAAAACATAAGAAACGACCGCGGTCATGCCAAACAGGAGGATAAAGCATTAATACGTTCATGTCAAAATCTGTAAAGGGAAACAAAAGTAGAGGAAAGGAAAACTCGAAACTTTTCCTACGCAAAGTTTATTTAATTACGGGTTTTCCGCTGATTTACCATTTTGTTTTTGGCCTTACTATACATATAGTTTTAAAAAACTGATACTTAATGGGTCGTGCGGTTGTTTTCAAGACATCTTGGTTTTTTCAGCCTTAAAGCACGCCACTTAGCCTCTACAACTGTCACACGTCTTACCGCTGTGTTTTTACGGAGCATCATATAACAAAGTTAGAATAGTTTTTGACTCTTTTAATTCTTCATAAATGCTTCTGTAGTTTTAAGCTTTGACTCAACAATGGAACAACGGCGATGCTACTAATTTAGGCAAGTGATTAGGGTTGGTGCATATGTTTTTTTTTTTTTTCCATGGAAATGTTTTAGAAATTACTGCTGCTAACAAGTCTAACGTGTGTACATTCGCTGTGCTTGGACCTCAGCAAGTTCCACAGCCTGTAAGTACATCGAGGGAAAAGAATCTCTCTCTCTTTCTTCTCAATCTCACAACCCTTCTAGCCTGAGGAAACTCAAAGCGTTTTAAAATCATATGCATTACTCAACAATTCCGGTTGCAAGCTACCCAAACATCAAAGGCCTTCTGTATTCTTTTTAGGAGGGTTGTTTTTATTTAATAACTGTTCCTTCCACCGCAAGCTTTCGGTCCTCCTGACACTGTTCGCAAAAATAAACGCTCGGGTAATAGTATTAGCTAAATTCAAGATAGTTCAGAACGCGGTTTTGCTAAACAGAGGCTAAACTTTGTTTAAATAACTAACCCCAAGTTTTCTATCACAGCCCCTTAAGAATTTCCTGATATAAGTGCTCGAGAATATCTTCAGGTTGCCTCTAAAGTGTGTCGATTCAGAACCTGCCAATTTATTGAAGCATGTTTTTATGTTGTAGGGCTATGTGTACATGGCTGGTACATCTAAAGAAACTTACCTGTGTGAAGCTTGCGGGAAGGTGTCAAGAGGGAGACACAAGCTACAGAGACTTCATCAGTATCACAGAGGCTTTGCCTGTGCGTTAGGAACAGGTTTGTTTTAAGGCAGTGTTTGTTCGATTTTTGATGATCTTTCTTATCCTTGAGTAGCGGAAGAGGAGATTAACGCAAGGGGCCTTCCGCAAGCAGTTTCTATTGAAGGCTTCCCGTTGTTTTCTCGCTGAGCACATTATTTCTTTAAAGTCACCTAAGCCTGGTTTTCACATGTCGAGAAAATCCTCGACGATCTGTGATTTCATTGTTTCTCGAACGTGCCAGATTTTTCGGATATATCGGGAGATCGCCAGTCGTCCACCCTGCATATTTTACTTTCTTTGTGACTCGGCGGTACTAGTAATAATCAATTGAAGACTTGTAGTGGGCTGAATTATCCCCAATCTACCCGACAGTGAGTGATCGCTGATCATAACAGTAACCTGGGACGCGTCAAGAAGATAGAAACGTTCACGATTTTCCCGATTTGTCGCCCACCATCCCAGACAGTCGGGTATCTCCACTATTTCAAGTTTTCATATGACGGAAAAATCTGGCTTGGTCGGGAAACAGTGAAATCGCTGCCGTCTTGGATTTTCCGTACAAAGGAAAACCAGGCATAGTTACAGAAGTGAAGTCATAGTTACTGTAATTGACGACTAACTTAGTGATAGAACTGTTCTCATCGTTCTCTACTGGTACTTCTCTTTTTAGTTGGCAGCCAAAAGCAAAGGAGTTCATTTAAAGGTTTCTCTCTTTTCTTCCAGCACAAGAGAAAGGGTTTAGGCTGAGCAGTTGTTTCAAGTGCTTGAACAGCAAGGTAACTAATAATAATTTTAATAATAATAATAATAATAATAATAATTTTATCATTTCTATAGCGCAAAATTCATTAGATATATGATCTAATCCAAGAAAAATTCATTAGATACATGATCTAATGCCAAGAAAAGACCCTCCGCTTTAGATAAAATCTAGTGGACATAAGCTCTTTGTAATGAGCGATAGCAAATGTACTTCATAATTTCACAATTTTTTTTTCCATTTTTATTGGAAGTTTAAGAATTGTGTTCTTGTGACAAAATACAGCCCTCCTCGTGTTTCCCTTGAGCGATGTTATGTTACCTTGCGTCAATTCGTGTATTTTTGTCGTTAAACAGGTTGACCTATCAACTCTTGAAGCAGAAGCCACACTGGACTTGTGGGAGCATCAACTTGTGAGACTTAGGAATGAAGGCAGCGTACGGACCATAACTCGCGAGCTGCACATGGCTCAGAGTGTCCCTGCCGTCAGAATAAGGGCCTTTAAGAACGGCGAAGGAAGCAGGGGGCATGGGGAGATTATGATTGGCTCGAGTATTCACGCGGTATGTTTGTCAGGTTGCTATCGTTCAAACGCAGCGTGACCCTCTCGAAAACGTTTTTCCCTGTTGCCTAAGAGGGGTTTTGTGGGTTGTTTGGTCTTTGAGTTTTAATAGGCATTTCCATCTTCTTGAATTAAACTTTATTTCTCTACAGGATCTTGTAGAGTTTTGTATCGCATGCGCAACTGGCCTAAAAATTTCGCTCTAACCTTCAACTCCGATGAGTGACCGAGACAGAATTTCTCCTTACCTTATCAATACAATATCAAGCAGACAAGTGATTAGAACAAAGGAAAATGAATGTCAATTAGGGGATTATCAGTTGATCCAATACCAAATTCTCAGAACTTACATCATAAGAATTGTATGGCAAACGGTAAGGAGAATTATTATGGGGGTGAGGGTTAAGTGTAAAAAGCCAAGTCTAAATTCTGCATCTTGGGTAAGAGTGCATCACCAATTACTGAAATCGTATGGCAGTGTTATTGGAGTGAACACTGG